TTCCCTAGTGTACATACATGTACTGATAGATATACATAGTTCATCTCCGGTCTCAGTCTCTGGTACACCCATAGTTGTGTTTTTTGTTTATTGGGAGGAGTGTAACAAACCAGGTGCATGCAGTCCAGCCTCACAAGAGTCAGTAAGGATGGATTGTAAAGGCTCACAACCGGCAGAAGAACTAATTCATGGAGATCTGTTTATGTGCCCAAGAGGGAGAAGTTCACTTGCAAGAAGAGATTAACATTGTATCATACATATTGTACACGAGTTCAAAGAACCACAGTGCCTCGGAATACTGGTCATATGCATTGTTGTGAACAAGGTTAATGTAGTACATGTACATGTACAGTACATTGTATTGGGGAAACAGGTGTCACATCCCTTGAGAATGAACATAAGCTATTTGATGTAAATAAATGGTTTAAACTTAAAAATTACATATTCTTGTTGGTCAAAAATAAAAGAAATCAATGGAAATAAACATTAAATTGTATATTTTTTCTCATTTATTTCCACCGTGATATAAATGAAGTGATTTAGATTATACTACCTTGGTTCAGTGTTACAGTTAATTTCACTTTCAGTAAGAAGTGAGAGTTGATACAACAGATTTATGTTCTTTCTCAGTATTTTTAGTTTAGATAACACAGTTTATGGTTCAAGAAGAAATTTTCCATTTCTTCTGTGTATGTTGTGTAACGTCCAAAGTGTATATATAGTGATTTAACTTGAATTCGCAAGCCACTGAAGGCAAATACTACCAAATTGCACCTTTTTTTGTTCTGTTCACTTTAGGGCTTGTATCAGTTCATGTATACAGGATTTCTGGAATGTTTTGTTCCCTTCACTATTTGAATAATAACCCTAGTACCTCTAAACAACTGCGACACTAAGGATTAGTTTGTGTGCTCCTATATCTGGAAATAATGTACTGTTTAATGGAAGTGGGGCAGATATAAAATTAGTGGCATTTAAATCTGACCACAGGTTTGAACTGGCACATACTTCTCTCTTTCAAGAATTTGAATAAATGAAAGATTCCACATGAAAACTGATTTTACAAAGAGTGAGGTGTATTTTTTCACATGTGATTTTTCAAAAGCCATTGCACTTTGAATTTTCATGTCGTATTCCTTGCATCTTCCTTACAGTCGCCCATCTTCAAGTCATTTGTGGCTGGCTCCCTGAGTGGGACCTGCTCCACAGTGTTGCTGCAACCTCTTGACCTTGTCAAGACGCGGATCCAGTCGCCAACTGTGCTTGAGCACAGCCACCGAGGGATTCTGTACACCGTTGGTAGTGTCATCCGTCATGAGAAGATTCTCGGTCTTTGGAGAGGTGTCATTCCTGTGAGTGGAACTGAGTGAATTGGATCGAGTATACACATTTTCATTTGATGGAATTCAGCCTAGTTGATGACAGCAAAATTAGGATTTTGGGTCAGAAAAGAATAACGAGCAATAACAGACAACAAAAAAATGATATAAAATCTTCCAAAAAAGGTTTTATACCTAATGTGAAACTTCAAAACACCACTTTTTCTTGAGTGTGTGCCTGCACACATGTGCTGTGTGATGTACTGAAGACACCCAGACACTTCTTTGCAGTACCATATAAATGTTTTTTCCTCTCTCAGTTTGCGGGATGAACAGCTGTCATGTTCTCATCTACCGCCCCTTGCAATGTTTACAACATTATGTGGTTGGCAGGAAGGTCTCTGTCTGACCTTGCCTTCTGCACTTTGCTCTGCATCTGTTTTTTGTGTTAAATATCTGTTTGGACCTAAAATAGACCTCTCATAAGACCAGGTTTGGTAAGGCTGGGGCAAAGGTTAGAACATTTGACCTGTGACTGTACTGAACCGCTGCTTTGCTGTCAGCTCCTGGGAAGTTATCTTTGTGAGTGGCTGTCAGGTGTGATAGGACTAGAAAAAGGGTATTATTGTAGTGTAATGAGTTGTTTGACCAAGATTACATTATAAGCCATTAGGAGGTGACACTTAAACATTGCATATAATGTAAAACCTTTGAATGCAAGTTAATCTACTAACTCAAGACCTTCAAGGTGTTTTAGTCAATTGATATACTTAGAAATACAGACATGTAAGTACAGCATCTGTATGGGACATTCCTTATGCTCAAACAGATTATGGACTTCAAGTAAAATTAAGCAGAACAGATGTTCACCACAAATATTTTTTATTTCAGTAAACATCTGACATGAAGTGCACAAAATTTCTGGGCTTCAAATGCGGAGTTAAATCTTGACAGAGTTTTTAAAAAAGAAAACATTGAATGCTGTGATGGGTTGCTTACCATCATTATTTTTCTCTAGTTTCACAGCATGAATCTACCCCGTTGCATATATCAAGTGCTGGTCCAGCTATAGACATATAGTTTTTCCCTCGTCCTTATCAGTTCTTTTCCATGCTTATAGATGTTCTGAAAAGAAGTTGTCCTTGGTCTGAAAAAACAAGGACTTTAAAGAGTCAGTATGAGTATGGCCTTCTAAAACAAGTAGTTTTATTGAAAGTGTGTGAAACCCTCGGTGCACTGTACTCCGGTTTAAGGTATTTTGAAGGTCATGTTATTGTATTATGTCAACATGACTGATGATGGAAGGACAGAGCTCAGTGCTATCACAGTGCTATGTGATGGCTCACGTGAGGTTAATGTGCATACATGTACATGTATATGCACATGAGATCCATTTGACAAGGATGGGGCACAGAGATAATGCAGTGTGCACAGGCCTGATAAGAATTGTCAACTCAAAGGACATGTACCTGTACATCACTTTTGTATGCCTTACTTAGTTGGCCCTTGACCGGCAAGGAAAGTTCAGGTGGTTGTGATAAGGTCTAGTATGGTTCCAGCAGCATGGAATGGTCAGGGTCTTGTAATTGAAACCTGATTGGAAGTCACTGTAAAGAAAAAGTTCCTTTCAACACAGTAACAGTGTAGTACAAATTACGAGGCATTACTTCACTATCGCCAATATCTCATGACGGAATCTTACATTTTCCTGACTACATTTTAAAAAAAATGTTTTGAACATGGCTGTAAGATTTTTATGAAATGCGGATGACATATTTGAAGCTGTAAAGGTTGGAAGACAGCTGATCGCTAATCCATTGATGATTCAAGTGTGACACTCTAGATAGTTATTTTTTCATGCCTAGTCTTTATCATTCATGTAGTGAGTTACTCTTCTGTTCTATTTGTAGTCTGTCTCAAGAACAGTTCCTGGTGTAGGATTCTACTTCTGTTCCCTTCACACTCTCAAGACAAAGTTAGGGTGAGTCGTGGCATCAGCAGCATAAATTTGTTACTTGAAGCAGGATCATGTCATGTTGAAGCAGGATCATGTCATGTTACTATCATTCAGTCACAGCAGCTTCTTGATTATTTTCAACGAATGTGACTTAAGGATCAGGTGACCAAAATCACAAGGATGACGCTGTGATGGGCATGTGGCAACCACAATGGGAAGGGCCCTTTCTTTTGATTCTTTTATACATTCTGCGACAAAATAGTGTGTTCCAGTCATTGATATGTCAAAAACAGAATGAAAATAGATTATACCAAATTTTTCCCTTCCAATTGTTATACAATGTTTTTTGCATGCCCCTCATGTGAAGGTTATTGCATACAATACAATCAGCTTACGCTCAAGGACAGGGGATTGTCATTAGAATGTATATATTTAAAGCTGGTTGCATAACTGACCTAGTGACACCTTGACTTTTGTTGGGTTGCAGATGGACAGATCCCAGTCCTTTACAAGCCATATCCCTCGGCATGGTGGCACGCTGCATTGCTGGCGGTATCATGCTTCCCATCACTGTCGTCAAAACCCGCTATGAGGTGAGTCAGCAATAGCAGGATGTCACATTGGTCTGAGTGGTTCTTCCTGGTATTTGCCCCATGTTGCTTGCAGCTTACTCTGTAGGGGCATAGAACGCATTTGACATTTTCATTGAAGGTTAGCCTGCTCATTTAGTGTTGACTCTTGTTGATAGACCATTTGTCATTGAAATTGAGTACAATCGAATTGTTTAAATATAGCATTGTGACATATAGAATGCAAGGAAAAAAAGACTGTTTTAAATGGTGCACTTTAACCATGAATGTGTGGGTGGTGGGTTTTTGAAGCATTGAAAAATGCTTTTTTGGTACCTCTAAAACTTCCGAGGACTGACACTCTCCCCTAAACATTGTGAAAATGCCCACAGAGTTTTCACAAAGAAAGTGAAATTCCTACTCTTCACCTCAGGAAATGTGTGTTGAATTTGGTACTGGTAACAATTGTAGTTCAGTCACTCACTTTCATGTACAGGAGAATGCTTCAGTGTTATTAGCGTGTTACATGTTGTTAGTGTTACATGCTAAGACGACTTCTTTTTTGAAAGGTAACATGAAAGTCTTGCAGTTCAAATTTTACTCCCAGAAAATTTCAAGAAAAGGAATTCTGGCTAAATTTCCAATTCGTGCTTTGATGTTTGTTGATGGTTTGTCAAAAAACACGGGAGCACAAAAAAAACCAAAAAAAATTGCAGGTCAGTGGGCCACTCACTACGCAAGATTCCATAAACGTTTTTCCTAGTTTTGGATCGCGCATGCAAGTAGGCCTACATGTACGAACGCCATGAACTCAACTACACGTGCGTAACAGATTTGTACGTGACGTAATGGGTTCGTCAACTTTGCGGTGTGGGGGGATTTGTGGTCGATGGCTCATTGAGCAGCAAAGTCAAGTCAAAATTTATGCAGGCTATCCATGTTGATGCACTGAAATTAACTAATCCCCTTTAAAATAAGACTTGCTTTACCAGAAAATATGCTTGTTACAATGGTTTTGGCAGAGAAATGGGTTTACGCTTGATTACTTTTTATGTGTAACAATCCAGAACTAGCTAAACCAATCTAGAAGTAGGGAAAGTGTCGTCACTTTTGTCGATCTTGTAAGACAAATTAAAAGCTCAAAATTTGAAAATATACATGTACAAGGTAGACCCCTGACCCCATTTCATTGGAATTTGATGATAATTGAGCTGTAATATGACTGAATATAGTTTTAGCGATCTGGAACAAGGAAAACAACTGAATACACACGCGGCTACTTAATTCATGCCAATGATTCGACCGTACGTACCACGGTGCACCTACCCGAACATGTACAGTCGTGCAACATCAGGGTTAGGATGTCGATCTTTTGTGGTCTTTTTTTGCGATCTTTTTTCAGTGCATGGTGCTGAAAAGTCCAAAACGCCGGGCAAAAAAATGTGTTGCCGAAAACAGGTGCTTGCCTGTCGGGCTGGCAGCCTGGAATATTTGGTTGCCTGATGAAATATTTTGGTCGTCCCTGGACTTCAGACTACTGATTCTGTGAGCCCTGGCCTCTTGGATTGCAAATATCTGGATCAGAGAGAACTACATTCAAAGTGCTAGATAACCCGAAATAAGAACTTTGGATGGGAAATGACAGAAGTCAACCAATTTTTTTTAAACTGCAGCGAAGAAAAATGTCCAACCAAGATGGAAGATTTGTTGGTTTGTTTTGACTTGTTTCAGAGCAAGGCTTATGAGTACACGACTGTCAGAGGGGCACTGAAGAGCATCTATAGAAATGAGGGCACAAAAGGTAGGTTCATGCTGCGTTGATGCTTTACTGAGGGGCTGGGGAAAATGAAGCAAGAGGATCAAATTAATGTTGTTAGTAAAAGCAAAAGATGAGAGTTGTCTTTTCCAATTCCTCTTATCTCAGTCGAATCGCTCAAGTTATTCTGTTCTTGAATGAAATGAAAGTTCTTGGTTGAAACTTTTGCTGTGGACTGTTATATACCTGGTTGTTTAGTGACTAGCAAATTATCAGGTAACGTAAAGCATTTGCTTTGTTTATCCCCCCCCCTTTTTCTGATTCTAGGCCTCTTCAGCGGAATGGTTGCCACCCTCATGCGTGACGCTCCCTTCTCTGGGATATATCTTGTGTTCTATACACAGACCAAGAAAGCCATTCCATCAGGTAGGTCATGCATGACAGTCTCAGCTAATCTTTTGGTGGTACTGATGTCATGTTGGCGCCTGTTGGTAACGCCAGCACAAATTCCCAGCCTTGACATCTGAAAAGGTGATCTCGGAATCAAAAAGGGTCTTTTTTTTCCTTTTTATAGCAAAATTACCATACAGGTTCCCAGTTTTCGTACAGTCGTCTCTCTTGCAGAGTACTGCCATGTTTTTCTGTTGGTTGCCTGGTTGATGGCCATGTTGGGAATATGTGTCGGAAAGGTTTTGTATTGCACTTGGAAACCTTGCCTGCAGCAATCAGTCTCACAGTCAGGTAGCTCTTTGTGTGTCCTGTTGGTTGGTTGCCAACTGAGGATCACTTGTTTCTTTGTGCCAGACAGTTCTGACTTAACCATTTATGTAGAGTGAATGCTGCTTGGGGTTGCCCTTTTTGTCATACAAAGCCTTACATGGACCGCCAATATGATATGTTTTCGCCTGAAGCAGGAGCAGGTAGGGAGCTGTCGTTGCATCTTGTGTACGCCACTCACTAATCTGGGTTTTCTTTTACATTGACAATAACTGAACTTTCAGGTATAACACGAAAATCTTCGCGGAGTTGCAATCCACGCTGCACGGATCCAATCTCGCTATGCTGAGCCGACTGACCAATGAAGCCGCAGCACTCAAAAATCTCAACAAACTTGGCTGCTCCCCCAACCTACCTCTTGATGATGTTGCTATAGCTATGGGGTTTGTCAGATCATACAGTACAAGACCCAAGCCAGTGAACGTGACAGTTGAAGGCCTTGGGTTGTACCCACCCGAATTACGGGCAGTAAAGAAAGAAATCTCTGGGCTGCTGGTCTGACGAAGAACGCTGGACGTAATTACGGATGAACCTCATCACTACCTAATGGCATTTTGGTCTGTATTACTACAGTGAAACTTTGTCTAAAGATATTGGTGCTCGCTTTTCCCTGAAAGTGTAATTGAAGATGGACTAGGCACATTATGAAACACCTATTAAAAAACAGACACAATGGACATGTCACTGTTCACATAGTAAAATGTCAAGGGTTTTATTGCATTTGGTGGATTAAAGTCTATCCACATTCTTTCCCTGCAAATCTGTGCTAAAATTTCAAATGCTTCGTGAAAAATAACTTATTTCATGCAGACCACTGTGTATGAATGGAAAGGGAAGAGGCCCCTTTTTAGGGATTTACATATTTCCTATACTTAGCATATTTGTAATTTTCTGGGAAATTTTTGTCACCACCTTAGAAGGGTCATACATGTAGTTTAATTGAAGCACTTGTGATACCTTCTCCACGTCTGTTCGAATTCTTAATAACCTTTTCCATTTCTTACAGTGAGATGCCCTTTGTAGTACATGTAGATTGCCTGACAAAGTTTTACTGTAGATTTTGTTTGTTTGCATGCTTATGCTGTCCATGATGTAAACCTGCCTCAACATTTTATGTCTTTGTTGTAAGCATCATGCATTTCATCAAGTTTTTTTTACATTCTTTCATAGCTTCTCAGCAACCTGCTTTCATTATGTTACCAATATGTAACCGAACCAAAACTGAATTTTCAAGAAAAAAAGATCTTTTTCATTGGTTCAAACGGTAATCAAGGGCTTTTGATTTTGTCCAAATGTTAATACCCTCCAGTGCTAGACTGAACTTGAATTGTTCAGGGTGAATAAGATTTCCATCCAAAAATGACATTTGGCTATGGGAAAAGTGTCTGTTTTTCAGAACCAAGTCTACTGATTACCAGTCACCTGTTTCGGACCAGAAAGAATTGCTGGTCAACACGGTTGTAATAAAGTCTCCAATGGTGCCTGATTAGAATGTATTTCTGTCTGTTTTGATGAGACAGATGTACATGGTTCCCTTGTGTAATTGCCATATCAAGGTCCATTTGTTGTCTGTTAGTAGTTTTCATAGAAACACTCTCATTTGTCTACCTGACAGATGTGCTGTAAACACCACTGAAATCGTACATCTGGAAAGTCGCCACGAACATGTATTTTCTGTAATAAATGCTTGCTGTTTTGAATGACAGGACATTACCTTGATGTTCAAGGCCATTTTGCTTCTCATTATGTGCAGAAATAACATGAAATAAAATTTGAGGTATTGAAAGCTTCAAAATAACTCTTCAGTTAATATGAATTTCCATTTTGTCTACAGCTTTATTATCAGTAGCAACTGCAAATGCCCTGTTTTGGGACACTTCAAGTGTGTGAACTGTAACTTTTATCTTGCAACGTGACCAGGGGCATGATGTGGGCCCAGTGATCAAACTATTAACCATTTCTTTCTTCCCTTCAATCCCATAAGTACCCACTTGTGACAAATGCTAGTCACTTCATTTATCATGCATAAAATTAACAGCAGGGAAACAGGCTGGCTGGAAATCAGATTGAAAAAGGTTCATTTGCACAGTGTAGATGCGTTTGTGATGAGTTGGATAAAAGTATTCTTGAATTAGAGTGCTTGATTGTGTTCTTGATGGTTGTGACTGTACTTGGTGGTTTATGTACAGTAATGCTGCTTGCGTCAGGAAGGAAACAATGAAATAAAATATACTCAAGACAGTGTGTGACAATATCTTTCTCCTGGGGTCATCCAGCTAACGCTTTTAATACGGAAGGAGGCTGTTAAAAATGTTGAGGCGGAGTGCAGTCTTGTCATTGCTGTTAATTGGTTCTTAATTTCAGACTGGAAAACCCCTCACTTGATGCCCACTATCACATTCTGCTCGGGCCTGTTGGCCGGTGTCCTTGCCTCAGCTGTTACCCAACCAGCAGATGTTATCAAAACCCACATGCAGCTGTACCCTGACAAGCACAAGACAGTTGTTGCCACAGTGCGATACGTAATACAGGTAAATCACCACAGCTGCATGTACAGGAAATCCCATCTAAGTATTGGGATGAATATGTCCCAGAAGATAGGAGCCGCCACAATCCATCCTTCAGTTAATCTGTTATCGCCTGTAGAAATTGTGTGCTTAAGTCTGCTTACAGTTGTGCGAAAATGGAATAAGCTTGGCTGAATTTATGGAAACCCTATTACACTAATCAGGAACTTATGACCCATTTCAGCTTTCTAGAACTGGTCAGTACTGAACAACTTTGTGTGGTTAACATCCCCATTCAAATTGGCCCCTTTGCAAAAATGAACATTTGCATTGTTGAAAAAGCAGAAATAAATATCTTGCCGAGTGCTGTCAAATGCTGAAAAGTTTGACTTTGCATTGCATATTTTGATATGGTGACAAGAATTGGGCTGAGTAAAATCATGGCATAATCGATTCGTGAGACACAGGAATCTGACACGTTTTGAGAGGAATTACATAATCGTATTCCAAAGAGTGAATCATAGCATGGGTGATATAGCCATCCAGTTAACATAAATGTACCTTGTATTTAATCACATTAACATTTATACATTCTTTCAAACAGTTTTCAATTTGTGAAGTAGTTAATTTCACCTAGAAGTGACCAAACGGCATTTTTCAAACAAACTTTTCAAAGACACAGTAAACTTCCACAAGCTGTAAACTGCAATTTGTTTTAGTTTATATCTTCAGACAGATAATAGAATTTGCATATCTGAGTTGAAAATCTGAGTTAAAAAGCCTGTTTTTAAAGACCAGGGGTGTGATAATTCAGCTTTTTAGCTGATTTCACCTTTTGTTTGTTTGGATGTTGACCCTGAATTTCAGCTTTTTGGTACACCTGGTCTGTCCAAAAGTATGGGAGATTTTTTCAATTTAGCTTTTTGTTAGCTGTTTTCAGCTTTACTTTTAAGTGGCCACTCACACCCCTGAAAGACCCCGTATAAAGGACTGAAATAATGCATTAGATCTGTGTGTCTCATCGATAATGCCAAGTGAATGTGTTTTTGAACAGGAAAGTGGAGTGAATGGCCTATTACGAGGTATGCTGCCTAGGTGCCTGAGGAGAACGTTGATGGCAGCTTTGGCCTGGACTGTGTACGAAGAGGTATCAGATACATTTCTGACTTGATTACCTTGCAACACACAGCAAATGTTTCATTGCGCTCACCCTGCTTTAGATTTTTGCCAAGTATGGAAGGGTTTATGCCATTATTTAATCTCGACTTGGCCAGTTTTACATTAAGTAAAACGATCATATGTAAACTGAACCTGGCAATATTGATGAAGAACATAGGCAGTATTTTTTAATATTGATGTGGACACTACAAGTGCAATTTAAAAGCAATGTATACCTAGTAGTATGCAGGAGATGGTGAGAAAAATCCACAAACACTGCATTTCATTGTCTGTTATTTTATGATTCCAACATTACTGGCTTTCACACATTGTAGCTGATTGGGATATTAGGACGGAAAGTGTTAGCATCTATGATAGCTGAAGATCATGCTGTCTTTTCATTCATCAGGTGATCGTCAAATTGGGCTTGAAGTAGCCTCCTCGAATGGTGCAGCTGCATGCTCCAGATGAGGAACTATCCACTGGATTCTTACAGAAGGTATCCTAAAGTGTTGATTGGTAGAGAGAGCTCTACTGATCCAAGTGGATTCTGTGTCTAGAGTGTAGCCCAGGATATACATGTCGTGTTACCCCCTTGACAGTGAACATGTATAGTGTTTTAGTGTATATAGTGCCCTCCACTGGGCCCACCTAGAACAAAGATGTGAATGTCACTGAGAAATGAAGCTAGTTTGAGACAGCTGTGAAGTGGCACTGGCCATTGAGTAGAGCTTAACATTTAGTGAAGCCTCTGAACTATGACCAGGTGAAGTCAAAACTACAGTGAAGCCAGCATGCAGGCCAGTATTTCGGAGCTTTTTGGAATACTGCATGATTGTCTGAACTGTCTTACATAAATGTGAAACTTCTGTTTATGTTCGCTTTTTATTTGATTTTACTCGAATTGTTGTGCAACATCAAGATTTTCCTATCAGTTTATCCCTGTTAATACCTCATACAACTAAGAGTTTTGCCAAATTGTATATAGTACATATTTATGAGAGATGTTTTACGTAGGGAAATACAAGTGACATGCGTTGTCCTTACAGCGCAAATGTTTGAATATACATGTACATGTATATCAATGATACTGCAGTGAGAAAAAGGTATGGAAATCTTGGTGTTCATTTGAAAGCTTTGTAAATAGTGTGTTGTAAAGTCATCAGATGTACACTCAAATGCGGGTTTGTAACATTCAGCAATCCTATCATTAATGTTACATGTGCCTGAGCACAGCACAGTATATAAAAAAAGGAGACTGGTGTTTGCAATATTTGCTTTGATAGCTGCAGTGTATTCCTGGTTGTTGACAGTGGTAATTGTTCTTGTCTGCTACTTCTGATGTAGCCAACTGATGCAAAGCAGCCTTAGCCAAAACCCGACTGCAGTTTGAACCAAGTCTCTTTTCAAATCAGGTTGAAATTCCATAGCTTGTGCGGTGAAATGTTTCTGAGCATAAACGAAAACCCAGGGGAAAAATTTATGAAAGTAGAAAGCTGCCACGGTGTTGATGCTAGCTCCCTACTGGGAAATTACATACATACATGTATAACATGCTCATGAATGATTAAAAACCTGCAAACCAATTTTGACTCGTAATTGTTAAGTCTTTGAGATGTTTATCATCTCAAGATAACTCATAAGGTTACATTGTATATAAAGTGAAGCAATCTGTTGGATTATTATTGCTCAGTTGATGCAGTTACTTAAAGTACAACAGGGCAGTGTTTAATAGATATCAGACCCATATTGGCAAGTCTGATATATGAACTTACAGGCCTCTTAATAGGCACAGTAGTCTCCAATTTTGTCTTTTTTTTTAGCTTTTTTTTTCCTTTTGCAACTGACCCTGTGAACTTTGTGTCTTTCGCCTCAGATATCCAAATTTTTCTTAAGAATCAGCTTAAAGCAATAATGCACCTTAAAAAAGCCTATGCAGACTTGTAGCCCTGTTGCATTAATTGAACAGGTTGCAACCCTGTACGTTGAATGTCTTTGAAAGCCTTGATTTCTTTGGTGTCCATTGCTATTACATTCCCGTGTGCCGACTGACTGAAAGCAGGTTGCATGTTGGTTCAGCCAGTATTAATGTAAAAAATATCGAAGATGGGTTTTTATTATTTCTTGAGGAATGTTTATTCTTGTAAAAAGAAAACTGCACTGGAGAATAATGGTAGTTTTTTTTGTTGAGTATATTTCACAGTGTGTGCAAGATGTTGACAAATGAAAATCATGTAAGCCATTTTAGAATATTTTTTCTCATTTGTCCAGTTGTAACCAACATGCATTCGCAGTTCTTTGGCCTGCAAACCGCTGACTAAAGGCCTCAGCAGTTTTGTTAAATCATTTTTCTGTGTAAGTGTTGAATGAAAGTGCTGCTGTGGAACTCAAGTTGTACATACTGATGAGCATGAAACTTTGTCATGTCAGTGCAACAAGGTCGTATCTCGTGTAAAAAACAAATACGAATTATGATCTTGTTGCACTGACGTGACACTTAAGATAATCATCCACAGTCAGTCAAATAAAGCAACTAACTTGTTCGAAGTGATTCAAAGTCAATTGTGCCACAAATGGCTTGTGTAAATTATTTATTTTCTCTTTTTTAAAATCAGTTTAATTGATGACTGATTAGGCAGTCAGTGTGGAAAAGTTGACATCATAACTGTACAAACTCACTCTGACACTGAAAATGGCATAAATCTGTACAGTGGCTTAGTACATTCATAGAAATTATTCAGAATTACTTGTACATACTAAAGTTTATGCCAGTGCAGCTTCAGTGGCATTGAGGGTTTAAAAGATGTTCTGTGTCAAATTTAAAGGTTATTTTTATCAATAAATGTTACCGATATGCAAGACGATCCAAGTGTTGTAGACTTGTCATTTTTTAGTACACTTAAAAACCCAGAATGGCTGCATACTCTTGCAAAAGGTGGGTAAATTTGATGGAGTGGTTGACTTTTGGACAGTGTTTGTTGCTTCCAATCATAGGGTCAAGCTTTTGAATCTTAGTAGTTATATGTAGTTACACGTGACCTTGGGCAAGTCACTTCTTCCCTGCATGCCTTCCTCCTATGAGTATAGATGGGTGCATGTGATTAGCCACTAATACAGCAGCATCCGGCAAGTACATGTATAATTGACAGGAAGCTGAGATAGTCGAAAGAATGTTCAGATGCTGAGAGCCCAAGGAGCGGGTATAATGATAATGAATCAATTCCTCTGGATGACATACTGTTAAAATACTGTACACCTTTGAAAATGATATTTCCCCATAGGCCCACTGACAAATATTGTATTGAATAGGAAACACTGAGATGCTTGGCGGCGGCAAACATACCGGTCCTTTATACCAGTTCTGAGCATGTGCGTGTTCTGAGCATGTGTGCATAGTTCTGAGCACGCACAATACTGGTGAAGAAGGACCTGTATGTCTGCTGCCACGAGCATCTACAAGTTTCCCATTCTCAGCTGCTGTTACCAACATAACCTGTGTGCTGAAATGTCCCAACACGGGGCCATATCCAAAGTTAGGCTTTGCCTTTAACTTCACCTTCAACAATGTCTTGGGTTCATCACTGCCCCTGGAAGCTAGTGAGCCAGTTGGCCATCCCAGTAATTCAGTCACAAACTGAAGCATGCTATGGGTCATATGAGACATGTTAGATTGGTGCTAGTCAGTGCAGTCGTAAACTGAACCACAGGCGTCAAATATCTTTAAGCCTGGGGTGGCTAAAGTGCTTTCTCCTTCAATGTCCAGGATAAGAAACTAAAGAAAAAATCAGCATAGCTGATGATGAGATATTGAGCTGGCTCTCGTGGCTCCAGTAAGCTGTGATTTTCTTGCTACCTCCGGATGCCTCCCCTCAGCACCAAAGGCTCTTCGGTATGGCCAGGAAACTCACCATCTGCATAAAAAACAAAACAAAAAAGGTCACATGAGGTTTGATTTTACCCAACTGCCACCCTGCTGAAAGATGAAGGGTTTGGAATAAACTGTTCACTAAAGAATCATATGGAGTGACTGAACCTTAACATTCAGGGGCAAATTTACTCTCAATCTGCATGTACCTGGGAAAATTGCCTTTCACAAATACCTAAATTCGTAACCTAAATCAATGAAATTCATTTCAGGGCACTGATAACTATGAACAAGAAAGGTAAAGCTATCTTCTTGACACACAGAATATAAATAGTTCTAGCAACTGTCAACAACTAGATGTAGCCTAACCCCATCAAGCTTGCTCAAGGCTGTTTCTCTTGGAGCCCTGCCACATAAAAATGCAACAATGCTCAAGAGACTGGAAATGAGAATCCAGCTGAATCATGAATGGAATAAAATAACACCATGATTGCATGATGCAGTGTACTACCATCAGCCTCAACAGAGCTGTTACGGTGTGTACCCCTTTGGGCTTATTACTGAATCCAACAGCATGAAGAAGCACAGAGCTACTGTTGTATATCGCATAACACGTGGCAGGTGTAAGACCATACTGTCAGTACTTGCCTTGTGTTGCAGGAGGTACATGTATTCTGTTGTGAGCAAGCCTGCTGTCTTTATTTGATGCCTTTGTAGCTCTGCCATAATCTCTGGTAACTGGAGTCCTTTTACTCTGTAGGAAATGACTGAGGATGCCATAGAGTAGGGGGCTGTAGTCAATCAGGAAAAAAAAAGCAAGAACAAGTGATTATGAGTCTCCTTATTTTAACAGAAATGATCATTGTTGCGACTGGGGCCCTACTTCAGTTGAAGTTCTCTTTTCATGCAAATTTGTAACATAAGCAAAAGTCAATTGTACACCAGGACTCACAAACACACATTCCATGGCACAGCTACCACATGTTTGGCAAGTATTTCATCTAGTTAGCACTATGGAGGTTTTGCAAGGCAGCCAGCTTCCAGGTCAGTGCTTTTGTTCCACAGGACTAAACAGAAGTTGGCCTTTTGTGCATATCCCTCCATAACAACAGCACTGACCTGAAAGATGGCTGCCATGCACAACCTCTGTTCTAGAAAAACTGGACCAAATCCTATTATGTGCGATGTCTTGCTGTTCACGCCCGCTTTAATACCTGAAGATCACATCAAGAAAAGTGTGCACCAGGCATCAAAGAGCATCACTCAGCTACTCCTTATGAGGAGTTGGTTATTGTAAACAAAGACCTTGTTAAGTAAATACGATCCACTTGATTACATCAGTGCACAAGTCACTGAGGTGTGGTGTATAAATCATTCTGAGAAGATTACCTTGCCATTGCTAAGGTGAACGATTTGCTGCATTTTAGATGTTAAGAACTAAATACTCACACTGTAGCGGTGTCTCTATCTTCAGTGATGTTTAGTTCATTGACTAGAAACTCTCTGTCCAACGGCGTCTGTGGCTGACCAGATTCTGACCAAGAAGAGATGAGTCAATTTGAACATGTACATGTATATGTATAAAGAACAGTATAGGGAAAGGTCCCAAAGTTCAGATAAGACTCACTTTGTTGGCTGAGTACAAGGTCTCTGAGGAGTTATGAACATTTTCAACATATATCCTTTCTTCCTCATTGCAAAACTAGTCTTTATGCACTGGCATCAACGTTTGTATGAGAATTCCATAACTAATTTATAGGAATGTCCTTAAGCTTCCAAAAGAAAAATGTACATACATTTTTACAAATGATGAACAAGCTGGCCTCATCTCATTCAGTGAGTTTTACACCACACATTGCCACTGAGGTTACGTGGGGAAAATTTCAAAGAGCTACAAAACACACATTACCCAAGTATAAATAGCTTTGAAACAACATACATGTATCATATTACGGTTCTACTTCAGGCTGGTTGGCTAAACGCCAAATTTTTCTAAGCAAAAATTCACACTCAGCAAAAGTCCATCCATAAAATTTGACCCAGATCAGAATGCCTACCTGCCATGAGCACAGATGCTGCATACTTGTACTTATTGAATTCCAGGTACTCTCTGATGAGTTCATTGATGAGCATGTTCTCGTTACTGAGCGGTGGTCGGGGGTCACTCTGGTCGTCCAAGGCATGAAACACTTCCGCACGAACTCTCGCCTTAATCTGGCCCAAGACCCCCCGTGTCTCTAATGTCTCCCTCAGAACTAAAGTAAATACATGTACACATAAAATGGAGTCATTTAATTCAATCAAACGACACTTTTGGAACTATTGTTGATGTACACTAACGTGGTGTGGCCCTTAAAGTGGAAAATTTGGATTTTTCGCCTCTAGTGCCTTACTGGGACAATATGTTTACCTCAAATTTCATTCCAAGTGAAATTTCATCAAACTCACAATATTCTGATTCAAACATCCTGACAAATAAAATTCTATTTTGCTCAATTTTCAATTTATTTTGAAGAGCAAAATGAACTTTTCAAGTGCTCTGCTTTAGGGAACACTCAGCTGAATTCTAGCCCTATTTCAAGAGTTGCCACTTTTGAATTCTGGACAAAATACATTTAGTATGACGCTGAATTGTTCACAAAGGTTCTGCGGCATGTACGTGTATTAGATTATGAAGGTTATACTTAAAGTACTCCCAGACCTGCGAGGCACAGTCTGTGAACACTGAGTGTACCTTACAGTTCTGAGAGTACTGACAGGACCTGTCATGCCTGTATTCAACCATATGAATTTGAAGTTTTGTCAACAAGAGGATTCGCAACATGAGGAAAGTCAAGTGAAAGTCAAAGTGTGCCACGTACAATTCATTCCAAAGTCTACAGCACACAGAATTTATCAATGTTTATCATGTTTATGGAGTGATGGCAGTTGTCTTGTCATACCCGAATTTTGAAATTATTTTCACATTTTCACTAGACTTGATTCAAGTCGGGATTCTCTGTGACGTCTGTGTTTACACTCTGGATACTGATGCTGCGCAGAGTTACTTGCTTCACGCCCTCATGTCCACTTATTACTACGAGTTGGGAAATCCTGACTTGACGAATCTGCCGGCCATTTGTACACAGCAAATTAGCTCATCTACCAAAAATGGTAGCAGCCATTCAAATTGTTTTTACATCGTTCGTTCGCCAGATGTTGCAGAAAGGCTATCCGAAGGGGGCGACTTATAAGAAGTTATGCTGTGTACAGTGAAGGAATGGCTGACTGGGGAAGAGCAACGCAAATCTGACTTGATTCAAGTCTACACTTTCACAGGCCTTGTGTCAGTGAGCAGTGGTGGTTTAACTAAGGGGGGGGGATCCCCTGCAGAAGTCTTTGTCTCTTCCCAGATTCTCACCCCATTTGTAACCTACACAACATGATCATAAATGTCATATGGCTCATTGATCGACGTTCTGTCCGTGGGAGCTGGGTGGACCCCACATTTCTGCCTTGTAGCATAAGCCTTATCGCAAACACTGCATGGGTGATTTTGCGCAATGGTAGAAAGGCATTGTGGGAAAGAAAAAGGGGAATGTTTGCTACTTTTTCCTTCCCGCAGTGCCTTTCTACCATTGTGTAAAATCACCCATGCAGTATTTGCGATAAGGCTTATGTCCAGCAATATAGGCCAAGATGGTTTAGCATGTCTAGAGCAGAGAAGTAGCCTAGCCTATTTTCTTGCAAAAATATCAGTAAGGCCATTGTAAGGCTTACAATGAAACTACAAATACAAATATTACAAATACAATGAAAATTCATGAAAGCAGGTCGAACAAAAAGCTTGTCACACTCCTAACAATACTAAAAAAAAGAGAAAATATTACCAGATTTTAACTCCTGAACAGAAGACATTCCGCGCGCTGGTCTAGTAGTATCTGACTATTCTGAGTATCGACTTGAGGCTCTCGTCGTCTAACTTTACCGGATCGACCATCGATTCCAAAACACGGCGCGTGGTGTTTGTCGAGGGCGCCCTCTGTGATCCGTTATTGTTCAATCATGGCGTCCTGGGTTACGGATGTCTACTCAATCGTTTCCTGTCTTTGTGTTCTGATTTTGTCGGGTACGTCGAACATTTTTTCCACCTTGGAGGATTCCCTTTTAAAAAGAATATCGTGTGGTTTGTGGTGTGGACGTTTTTTGGAAGAAGAGTTTATGAGGAATCATTGGCTTGAGTCCATGATAATCATCATCGCAGCCATCCAGTCATTCAAGCATTTACATAATACATTGAATAGGCCTACCCCAATTTTTTTCAGACTAGTCTCATAGGTTTGTGCACAGAGGCATCAAATGTTGTCCGTAGCTATAGGCCTATGGAACTCTTTCCATGCTTTCCCCATTTCGAGAGTAGCATCATGATTGAATGACTGCCATATGCACATGCACATGTACATGTATGCCAAGGCACCTAGTCAGAGTAGGCCTAGGCCTACATAGTACATGTAGGCCAAATTAAATAGCCTTTTCTCTAATTTATTTTTATAAAGATGAACAAAGAAATTGACTGGAGTGGGATTTGAACCTGTGGCCTCTGGAACACTGTACCAGTGCTCTACCAACTGAATTACCCAGCCATACGTTGGTGGCTACATGGTGTTTCTGGTTTAGCCTAATGGCTTCTGGCTAGCGCCTCCCGAACAGAGATATTGACAGATGGGAAGAGCCACCAAAATTGGGCTGGGTAGCTCAGTTGGTAGAGCACTGGTATGGTGTATCAGAGGCCACAGGTTCAAATTCAGCTCCAGTCAATTTCTTTGTTCATCTTTATAATCATACTGTACATAAGCACCTAGTTAGTTTCCCTATATGATTTGTTTCATAATTTGTTTTTATTTAGACTTTGGACTGCCCCATTTCAATCAAGTTATAAAAATAGTTTCAAATACAAACAGCTTTCATCATCCCTGTTAGAACACTTTTGTTTTCAGGCTGTGAAGTAAGAAACATGAGAAGTAACCAAGACTTGTAGACATGATTAAACTCTTCTCTCAACTTGTCTCTCAGTTGTCAACATTTTGAAATTTGGTACATTGATGTCATCAAAGAAAACCAAGGTCAGTCACTTAGTATACGTGTGTCAGCAGATAATATGCTGCTAAGGTATTTCTCTGCACTGATGTTCATTTTAACCTGTTGATATTTAATTGTATTCTCATCTTGGCTTTCCAGTGAGATCAAACCAGTGGCACTACCCATCGTGTGTGGTGGTAAACCCTAACACTGGTCCATGTCTTAGTATCTTCTTCCGTTACTTCAATGGTTACCCATCGGCTGTTGGGAATGGGGAACTGGTCCACCATGAGTGGGTGCAGTACCTGGACTCTGTGTACGATTACAATGATGAGAGTGAAACCAGTTGTAGGATAAGTGAGTGTTAACTTCAGCATCAGTTGCACTTTCACGAACAATCAAATCACAAACAATAAAATCCTCCCAAAAGAATCATGTTACAAGAATCTATGAATGATCGAAATTCTTTGTGAATAATAATATTGTCAAGGAGCTCCATGTCCGATGTAAAGGAATACATTGTGGGCTCACAAGGCTCCGCCTTCCTCAGTCCTACAAAATCTTCTTGAACCTTGTACCTATGTGTTCCAGAGTAAAGAAGTTGGTATTCCCTTCAGGACATTCAAAGTGTTCCAAGTTATTAGAAAGGTGCAATACATTGCATTTGATCTCTCTAAAACATACATATAAATGTTACAGTAATTTAATTGTTCCATCTTTTGAGCAATTAAAAAAACACCTGCCTCCTGAGGTCACAAGTGCACAGCCTTGTGTTTAGAGAGAAACTCTTAAAGTAGAAATGTAGATGTGAAGTGAGGACACATAGTGCATCTGCTGTTGTTTATCCATCCCAAGTTAAACACCTGTTACATGGACACACTGCAGGTTTTGTACACATTTTGTTGAAAATACATGTAAATCATGCACACTGCTTGGCATACTTGCCTTAGAGTCATTGTGCACAGTTAATGAATACCTCACTGGCTCTCAGAAATAGGTCACTAGACTCTGTCTACTTACTGTGCTGCAGAGTGAGTCTCAGTGAAGCATTTTTACTGAATTTTCAATAGAAATGCACATGGACACTTGGTATCAAAACTGAAATCCACATTACTTAAATCTTTGACGTTGACAGGACAAAGATCCAAGTTCAATGCAGACTTTGTAAATGTGACCTGGACACGAGATGGTTTCTCCACCTGCACCCAGTCCAATGTAGAGAGGTTCAACTCTTGGTGGGGCTTTGTCTGTGAGGGTCACTGTGTAGATGACGACAACTGCCGACGATACCCGACATTCCTGGGCCAGCACCTCTGGAACAACTGCTCCTGGGATGAGACATTAGATCGGCCCTCTTACGATCTGAGACTGCCCTGATTGCACAATTACAAAGGGAGTGGGTTTTGAAAAGTGGACAGAATGAGAGGGGAACACTTACACCATTTTTAGGGGAAAAACCTGACCAGGTGAATAAGGTAGCATCACAAAAATCATAATACTGCTGTTCCACTGAAACACTCTTGTCATTGCCAAGGTTGGGTATAAAGCTATTGTCTTTTGAGATGTCACACTGGTACTGATCTATCTTGTTACCTTTGACATTGTATATCAAGTTGGGAGACCAAATAATGTTGAAGAGCTCAGCCACAAATCCCCTTCTCTTTTTAAATTTTCCTTGTACATTGTATAGTTTTTACAGCAATTAGAATTTTGTAAGCAGGGCATCTCTTTCATTCTGGGTATTGATTTGTATAAAGGACAAGATGGAACGTGTGCAACAAAGGCTTTGAAGGAACATGGCCCAAGGCATGTGGGACTGTAGGGTTAGGTAATAAGCCAGTTTGCTGTTTCAAGGTCAAGCAAGGTCATTAGGGGACAAAGCGTGTGTGCATGAGTCTGCATAGGCCTGTGCTGACAGATAGGGCAGACCTCACACGCGCATCTTAATAACCTTGGGAGGGCTTCATTTTGCATATACTCTGAACTGGCACATTGATATAGCATGCCATTGCTTTTTTCACCAAAAAGGTTCGTGATTCTATGTGCATCATGGAAAATTAAAAACCACGCTGACGGTGCAGAACTAATACATGTATTTGATTTCAGCTGACAAAAATATGAAGCATTCAAACAAAATGATTTCCATAAAAAAAGGAAGGCACATTGCCTTCAGAAAAGTTTTGTTTTAGAGACATTTAAATAGAAATGTGCTCTGAAAGTTTACCAAGAAATAAATACAAAATTGATAAGATATATGCAACTTTTTAAATACATGTATATTGCATGTGTTCATCTAATTGAAAATCAGCAATGGTGATGTGTTCAGTTGGTTTGGGGCACAAACATGTAAATTGTGTGCTTAAGGAAATACTAATTTGGAATAAATTTGTTGATGCAGTTGTAATTATGCATTTATCAGAATCTATTCAATTGTTTTATTATTTTTATAAATAATTTATGTACATAACCATCAGAAGTAGACATCTGTATATTCAGTTTCAGCTTAATCTTTGATGGTGTCAGTAGAGAAAAAATGTTTCCATCCTATTATAATCCGTCCTGTGCCTATTAAAAGCAGTTTTAAACTGTTAAATTTCACTTAGTTTTGCTGACTGTTTCATGAGCCATTTTTAGGTTGCTGTCCTTCAGTTGAAATAATATTCCTGTTTATAGTCTATTTGCTGTTTTTGACGATGTTATGCTGAATGCTGTTACAGTTGCAGCAAAAGAAAACAGTGTATAGACAAGACATCTGCTCAAGTCATTGCTTTTTTTTATATCCCAGTTTGATTATGAAGATTATCAAACAAAAAACGAATCCCGAAAAAAACAAATTTGCACTGCCCGGGAATCGAACCCGGGTCGCAAGAATGGGAATCTTGCATGATACCACTACACCAGCAGTGCTATAGCGCAGTACAGGTGAAATTATGCATTATGAACACTAGCCTGTATTGCGTAATACTAGTCGATACTGCTCTTGCGGTAGTCGATAATCGGTGTGTTTGTCTGCTATGCAATATCAAGCACTTTTGAGCTGTTTTATCACATCGGTAAGTGTTATCGATACAGTAAACCTAAGCTAACGAGCAATAGAATCGATTCTGTTTTGAAGACAGAAACCTCGACTCTCCTTCGTGTAATGAGCTTTGCACTGAGAAGCGCTTGACTACAGAACCCAAAAGCATAGCGTAATCAAATTGCGTAGTAGGCGCAGGCATGAGCACTCGACTCACGCAGTGTGATTCTATCGCGGACGAAGCTGGCAGTAGCAGACGACTTTCATGGTAAAATCAACATGTATAAAGTGCACCAGGGGCCAAGCAAGTTCAACGTACACAACAGAAGAGGTAAATTGCTTGACCTATTCAGTGTTATTTAACCTGCAATTGTGTCGACGCATTTTTCTTACATGTCTTACTACTTAGCCATTAAAAGAAAAGTTGAGTAGGCCTACGTAATCAGGTGGTGGCACTGCGGTATAAAGCCTGTCGGCTGTAATCTTCTCGGCCATCATCATGATCATGCGTTCCTACTCTCTCTGCAGTTCTGACGCAACAGCTCGATCAAGATTCATCACGCGACGGTAGACCAGAATTTGCTGGTGGTGTGAACGGCATGAGGTAAGCACCGGGCAAATCCTGCAATGGCAAAACATTTAGGCCTTGGCCTACCTGCTATTCAAACGATCGAAAATTCGGGAAAGAATCACCTTTTGGCCTACAGTGACAATAAATTTGTTTACCGGTCGACATTAGGCCCAGAACTGAACCAAATGATTAAACGAAGTGGCTATCAAGTATCATTACGGCAGTCGTAACCCATTTCTCATTTTATATCGTTACGGCACTGAACTGGGCAAGTGCGATGACATGTCTGATCATCACGATGGTTTATGTATGTTAAAATTACCTGAATCGCTGAACACTTGTGGCCGAGTGGTCAAGGTGGAAGGGTTGGGACCACTGGTGTGTGAGTTTGAATCTGCGCTTGGACTTTTTTTTTCTAAATTTCATGTTTTATACCATGATTTTTTTATGTTGGTTAATTGCAAAAAACCTACAAATATTCCTACGATATTACTGGCCCCAATTGTCTGGCTAAGCTGAAGGCAGTAACCAGGAAGTTTTGGAATGTTTACTGTTGTTCGTCTGACCGGGCGGCGATGATCATCGAGCACTTTGATATGCCAGAGTTGTAACTCCTTCTGTGTCCTTCCTCCATGGTAGTACTTAACCTACATTACTGGCAAAAAATGAGGTTTTTTCCTACCATCCTCATCTCTCATTCCTTGACGATCCGCACACATCTGCTTTCTCTTGTGGCCGTGCGTCACGTGACAAAAACAGATGCAGCGCATTTGCTTAACGAATGTTTATGTTGCTGTGGATACCAGTCCTGATAATTCCAACTACTCTCGTTATATATAGAGATTATATATAGAGACATCTGGGAAATCTGTGGTCAGGGAACCTCACTAACCACATGCCATAGTGTGCGGAACCATCAAAAAGTGGAGTGCATTGAGGCCTATGGAATAATGCCTTACTGTTCAGGAAGTAAGGCAAACATACCATATTCCCACTCAATTTTATGACAAAAGCAACAGAGCATACAATCAGCAGTGTAGAAACAAACTATTAGGATTTACTAATAATGTACTTGGTAAGAAATTGAGACATTTCATACGTTCATGGTGTGCCTAGTGTGCTAAAAAATTGAAGTCAAATCCTTACATTGGAAGACAGAGTGAATGCGATTAATTCAGTATTCAAATATTCAACTTCAAGTTTATCAAAGAATTAAATATTCAGTAGTATCAAATTTCCATAAAATTACAAACAAAACAGATTTGTCATTGTCTGGAGGGAACTCTTTCCAAAATAAAAATACTTGTAAAAAGAGTAGTTTTTTTGGCCATATTTACTGTTGCCAGCGTAGCATCAATTGTAAATTCACACATTACATGTTGTGTAGCAAAATAAGTACTCTTTTTCCCTTCTTAACCCTAACCCCTAAGGACCATTGAAATCCTGCATAACCTTGTTGGGTTCAGCATGGTTAGGTTTAATTTCAGCTGTTATTTCAACCTCCAAATAATTTAATTTCAGAAATACATGTAATTATACGAATATTGAATAGTTGATCCCAAATACCCAATAATTTGGTAGAGCAGTATTACAGACAGTAAGTCTCAAGTCAAGCAAGTTAGTTGATAAGCTGTTCAAAGTAGCTGTTATAAAAACAATTCCCATTCCTTTGTCTTTGTTCAATCCTTGTTACTGATATGACTACATCTACATGTACATGCAGTTCTGTAATATGCCAAAATTAGGCTATAATTTCAGGTTGTAGTTGCCTGCGATCCACTGCAGTGATATTCCAAGTTTCAGTGATCAAATCTCAAGATACAGCATGCTATAATGTAGATATCATGATTCATGGCAATACATCTATTTCAATCTGAGCTCTGCTTTGTTCAGTCAAAATCTCACTGCTAAGCAATAGAGTCACAACAAATGTGAGCATGAGATATTTCAGACTTGTTATTGATCAGCACTTTCAATCAAGTAACATCGTATAACTTTGCATGGAAAGATTTGATAACCAAGTATCATTTTTTATGTGATTAGGATAAAAGAACTGAACTGAATTTAACTGAATATGTACATTTGGTGTGTATATGTAACAAGTTTCATAATTCAGCATTATACATGTACCGTGTCCACTTTTCAACCTTGTTGCTTGTAGACACATGTACATGTACTCACTAGTATTTGAAAACTTGTTTCTTGTAATGAAAGTCCTGATGGTAAATATCCTCAAGGTTGAATCGTAAAAGTTGAAATAGAAATTGTGCTCTTGTATTTCCAACAGTTTGCATTCCTCCCCCAAGCCAGTCTTTCACAGTCCTAGCTCAGCTGCCAAGTGGCAAAGTAACAACCAAAGGTCAACTGTTGAGCTTGAAGTACCTGCAGACAAATTCCCTCCCGAACACCTGGAGAAAGTCAGAATGCTCAGTGAAGGTAAGCTGACTTTACGCTGGTTGATTCATTGGCACTCCTTATCCTTCTTTTTGATTACCAAGCAAAAGTCTATATCACACTTAAACCACATGTAGTGCTCATTGGACTGACTACAGAAAAACGAGAGATTTTAACTTTGTTGTACCATCTTTGTTCATGAGTTTTATGAGTCACAGTATTTTTATACACAAGTATAAGTGGAACACAGAATAAAGTAGTGCATCTACATGATCTGTCCCATATGTACCATTCGTTCAAATTTACCTTCTAGCAAATTCTTGCTTGAATTCAACTTGACATGCAGGAGATGGAATTATGTGCACTGTACAGGAAATAGATAAAAAAATAAAATTTACCAAACTTGTGCATGTCAAAAAATAGTAACACAGACAAGGACGCTACTTGTACTTGAATTCTGAAATGTTATTTACCAGTGAGTGCTAGAATTATTTAAATGCATGTGACAATCAGCATGGGATGCTGTGACTTGACAGTGAATTTGGCTGCTGCAGGTTTTGCTTAAGCAGAAAATAGCATGCTGTGGAGTTACAACAGCTTAATACATGCTGTGTACTATATCTTAGATTTTACAATATGTAATGTGAGACACTGTCTGTTGCCATGGATTGACCAACCAGAATTAAGGATTCAAGACTCCTTGAAGATAAAGCTTGATATCAGCTATCTATTGTCATGTTAACTTTGATCAGTGTTGCTCTGTGGATAACCAAAACGTGGTTTCATCAATCGTCATGCTACAGGGTGGAAGCACTTTTTAAAACTAATTCATGTTAACCTTCTTGGTTGTTGTACTCTAGTAGAGTAACTCAGGGGAAAAATTGAGAATGGAAAAAAAATTGGACATAAGGCATTCTACAAAAAAATTAAATGAGAAATAAAAGATTTAAAAATAAGAAATAGAAACTGTAAAAAGAAAGGAAACAAAATAACCCCCTCCCCCTTGAAGAAGGGCATAGAAATTAGGTTGATGAGGTTTGCTTTTGACTCATGACCAAGTTGTAGCAGTTGCATTGCAGGTTACCTTATGACTGTTGCGCAAGCGCTGTGGAAACTAAAGCCACACACAGCAGGAAATTGTAGTTATGACTGTGATGAACTACTCGGTTATGAACTCACCATTTGACTCATGCAAGATGCGGTTTGCTCTCAGGATGTAATCATTTGCTATATGACCATGAAGTCTTAGTCTAAGGGGCTAGGTTGTATTGAACAAGTGCATACTTAAGGAATTTCCAAAAATGGTACATGTAGGATAGCAGTATACTGTGCAAGAGGAATTTTAGATATTTGCTAATATTTGCTATATATAGCACTTGCATTTCTCCATAATTGAGAGTGTACAATTCTTTGTAGAAAAATCTGAAAATATGGAAGTTGAGTAATTTTTTTTTGCTGTGAGGCACATAGATAAAGGACAATTTTCCCAACTTTTTAGGTATATACAGTGTAGGTACTTTGCTGTAGATGTAATTACATTTGGCTAATTAGGGTTAACTTTTTAAGGGAGTTAATGCAGAAATGCCAAAAAATGGCCAGTAGTATCTGATGGAAGGTCCAATAAATTTGATGTGATGTACACCAATCAAGGTTAGTGTTCACCACATAGAATCTTGTTTGATTTGGCATGGTTAGAGTTATTAATTTACCTAACATATATATTATATATTAATATGGTATTTGGTTTTTCAAAATGTTAACTGAACAAAAAGGCAGTTACTTCATAGAAGATGCCATGTAAAGAGCTGACATGTTTTTAATTTGACCCAAATTGTTGACAAATAGTTCAGTTATTGATAAATAGTTCAGTTATTGATAAATAGTTCAGTTATTGATAAATACATGTAGTTCAGTTACCACTACATAGGTATATTCCATTTTTCATTTGTGACCCAGTCCATACCAGATGCTGAAAATATTTTAACAATGTTTGCACACCATATACAGCTACATGTACTTGTGCGATTCGCTAGATTTATGAAAGAAAATCCTGCACATTCTAACATTTGAATCATACTGAGTTCGTGATTCGGTTTCAGCATGGAACAGAGCAAAGGCTGAAATCCAAGAGGGGAAACAGCAGAGAAGAGGTAAGTTGCTTGCCTCATTCAGATTTCACAATCCATCTCTACTGGCTTTAGTACACCTGTGCAACCCATTCTGACAAAAGGAGTCGCAAGTCACCAGAGCCACTTTTGAGTCAGAGACCTTTATAAGAATCTTGCAGTCGTGAATAGTGTTTTTGCATTGCTGGTGTCTCAGAGGATGTTCATTGTTTTTTTGATATTGTTGTAGGGAATGCACAAAAAAGGTGCCACAGCTGGGGGCTGTTGAATGTGAAACAAGTTTTTCTTGAGGATATCATGCTACTTGGCTGCTAAAATGCACTTAAACATTGTTGAACAGCTGGTAGATTTATTACCGACATTACAGAAAAACAGCAAGTTCAATTACTCGGACAGACCTCTTGCACCCATCCTCATGTGTTCAGTCACAAAATGTGCCTCCCAGTTTCATGGAAAGACACATGCTTTCTTGTGCACTGTACCCAGTGTACTCAATTCACTGTACATGTAGTCAGTAAGGTCACAAATTGTGGTTAACTGATGAACTTTGTTTTCCCAGCTGATTCAACGTCACCAATCACGGTGGAATATCTAGACAAGAGGGAACACCCATTATTTCAAAGTAAGTTCCAGTGCTTCATTGTTTTTTGCAAACAGTGTGAGGGAATGTACTTATTGCATAACCATACCCTCAGGTGCATTTGTCTCTTGTTTAATCATGGTTTTGTGCTCATTCAGTTGAAAACGTGTCTTAGTTCACTGTGCAAATCACGCATGTGAACCAGCAGGCACATGTAATATGTGACCTTTCTGGGTTATTAGATCACACTATTTCATTTCAATGAAATTTGAAATCAAAATTTCAAAGCCTTGCCATGCCTGTTACTCAAAGTTATGAGTAAGTGTCATATTTTCTTTTGTGTCACTTTGCAGATTTTGAGCCCATGGATTTGGAGAAGGAACAGCTGGCCTACATGATGCACAAAAAGGATACCACGTAACATAGGCCTTTGCACATGTTCCATGTAAAGTCTATCTTTTAAAAAACCCTATTGAAAAGTGTGTGTTCTTGATCTTTTGGGAAATTGATTGATTGTGCATGTTGGTGAAACCCAGAGAAGTCTTTATAGAACTGACGTGATTGACATTGTAAATGCATGAATGATATTCTGAAAATAACATCCAGCCAATTTTTGGTTCTGGGTTGGTTTAATGGTTTGAAATATTGTCTGCCAGTGATACATTTCAACTCGACTACCATTTCCAATGTTTGTAGCATTGATCACAAGGTGACATGTAAGCAGAGGTGTAAGCCAAGATTTTTTGGGGGGAGGGGTACTTAGGGGCCTCATTTTCCAGAGGGGGGGGCACTCAGTGGGCTCGTTTAGAGTTAAAACACTGACCGTCAGCAGATTGTTTCCTCCTCTAATTTCTGTGTGGTGGTGGTGGTGGTGGGGGTATACATGGGGGTACAGGTCTTCAGCGGAGGGTGTGTGTGCCCCCCTTAGTTACATGTACATGTAAGCCAGTAACTAAGTTACATGCCTGTAACAGTTTCTAAATATCTAAGAATAAATGTATTGGTGAATACAGAGACCACCAAATAGGGTGGATAACAAAGCCAGCAATGGAGTGCAAACAGTATTTTAGAGGCCACAGTCACAGTGGATTCACATTCCTCTTTGCCACTTTCTGTGACTTCATCCAGATTAAAGTTTACTTTCCAAGAGAGCTGAAATGGCTCATTTAAATTTTTCTTTGGAAAGAAAACTCAATTTTTCCACGATACGTAGTTATGACCGTTTACAGGTTTCAATCAAAGTGGTGACTGAAATTATGACAGTGGCCAATTGGATTTCACAAAATAAAAAGCAGAACTGTTGAAGAGTCTATTACAGATCAACCACTGGACTGGACAGAAGTGAGGGATTTTATCTGATTTGTTTGAGTACATGTAGGCTGGGAGTTGAAGGTGAATCACATTATATTGGACCCTGGACCCATGAGAACTTTCACTCAACTACAGCACTGGCATGACTGGTGGAAAAGTATTGGAATGCACAACCTTGCATTTTTGTAAGTAAAATTACCCATCCTGCCTTCCAACCGTGTGTGCCCTACTTTTACCTAATCTTCCTGTAATCTTATAGATAACGTGTATATTTTAAAGGTTGAACAGATTTTAAGCTATAAGTTGTACAAAACTTATTAGTTGTGTGATTATAAATGAGTAGTAGTTGGTAAAACAGCCTTGGTGTGAACAGTGTATTCAGGTCAGACTCAGTCACGAAAGAATGATTTTGGGAATTGTGTTTTCAGAAAAGAGAAATAACGCGGATGTTTTGCTGTGGAACTGCCAAGTGTCATGTTTTTTACTTGTTAGTTCAGTTGTCTTTTCTCGGGGCACTGGGTTGTATGAGATCCTGTGACAGCTTCCGAGTACCTTACTGTCTAGAACATCGCCTGCTGTACATGTATGTGGCTGCATATCTCATTGGAAATCTGCTTTGGCAAGTTTTTTGTGTTTGTCTTGGAAAAGTTCAAAAGCTTTAAAAAAGTTAACCTTGTCCCTGGCAGGTTCAATTCACCTCGTTTTTTATTCATATTCTTTGTACATGCTGATAACTTGGCATATAATGTGCCATTTGGTTCCATTCTATCTTCAACCAGGTTGGGTTAGGTGTTGGGCTTACCAGATCATGCAGAAAAAAGAGAACAAACCTGTATAGGTTGATAACATGACATCCCCCAGTTGTCAAATTTGACAGCGATACACATGTGCATAGGATGATTTCTAGATTTTAAAAGAATTTATATTTGTTGATTGAAGAAGGGGTACACTTCATCCATTGCGTTTTGTTCATGTACATCTGTATAATGTGAATTTGTGGGCTACTTTGGCTGACATAAACTTTAACCGTGAAAGTATTTCTATGAAAAACATGTTTTACACTTGGAGAATTTCACAGGAAAGCTTTTTATCCAAATATATTTCATGGCTTGACGCTCTCATGAGTTTTCTGTTCTGCAGAAGAAGAGGTTTGGGATGCAGTGCCTTTCCAAAAACAACCCTGTGTCAGTGTGCAGATTTTGTCTTCTCCCTTTTAAAAAATTTTCCTGAGCCTGTATACGTGCATGCTTTAGTTTCTGAGCAAGATTCTTGGAGTGATTAAGTATTGATAGGTCGCTGATTACGCACAGTCGGAATACAAATGTTATATTTCGTACTTCCTAATCCAATTACATGGAGGTGGTTATAAGCACCTGTTTAGTGTTTTACAAACTGGGAAATGCCCAGGGTTCTGTGAAAACAAATTTGTGCAATTTGTTCTTTCTCGTCATTAGTAGAGTCGCTCTTACAGGAGGGTCTCTGTGTTGTGAACAGGTTTGACTTAATTTGATTGAAAATGCCTTTCTGGTTGACTGGGGATATGAAATATTCATTGATTTTGATGGCAACAAAATTGAATGTGTATCAAAATGTGTGTACTTGTTTAAAATTTACACACGCAGGATTTTTTTTAAGTTATAAATTAAGATATTCGGATTTTAAATGTTTCCTGTCAATTAAAAGGAATGGATATTATTTGAACAGAATTTTGAAATGAAATGTCCCATTTGATTGCTATTACATGTAACTGTTTACTGAAAATAAAGTTCAACCACTGACTGTGCGTTTCATGTGTTTGTGTTTTCATTGTCAAAAAGAATGCAGATTTTTGGCCTTTGAGCCAGTATTTATAGTAAGCGAACACCTTACCATCATTACAAAATTAAAAGAAAAACACTCTGTATAGTCTCTTACTAATGTGGCCTCTGATTAACCGTCGCCGCTTGTAAGTGCAGAACTACCGTCAGTTGTTGATATCTCAAAATACTATTACCACCGAAAAGTTAGCACAAAAAAGATCATTGCACTGCACTAAAAAAGGATACCAGCTTTCACAAACCTAATTAATCAGAGAAGTAGGAGGTTTTGCAAAGTGAGATATTACACATTCCATGTACATGTAATGCATGGGGCTCTTGAAATTAAGCGGAAGGCCCCTGAAGCGTGATAAATAAAGACTCAATATGTAATGAAATATAATGAGTTAATGTACATGTAGTTGGAGAACTTTGATAAACTAGGCCAAGTTCATGGTTTTGGAAAGGCCAAGAGAGGGCGCAAATGTTGGGCGCCTGCGCGCGCATACTCGCTTAGCTTCACGATAACTGCATTTTTCCACGTGGCCGAACTGGAGAGTTACAAGGTAAGTTTCACTTTTAGTGTTAACAGAGTTTGGAAATATTCTAGCAGTAATTTTGCATTTAGACGATCATTTACATGTATGATGCTGACTTGTGTTGAGTGAATTTGTGTGGAATGGGATAGAAAGCTTGAACTTGAGTTGAGGAGTCGATGAAAATTTCTGTCGAAAACCGGTACTGCGGTAGACCTACGGCGGTAGACCAAAAAAATATTCAGTTAATTAGGCCTATGGGTGTTCACTGCCTTTAGCACCCTGTTCCTATTGTAAGGGAACAAATTCTACTTTTTTGAAAAAACTTATCTAAACAAGTTGTTGGTGATGTCCTCTTTCATATCACTGCCAGAAAGAAAAGAAAACGGGTTTTTTTTGGGTTTTGGAGGGAAATAACGCACCTCCCATTTTCGATCATTACAGCACTGCAACTGCGCAAGCGCGCCAACATGAGCTTAGATTTCAGACTTTATTTCCCTTTAAAAATTCTCCAAAGCCTCCGATGAGAAAAGAAAAAAAGATTCCTACTTAGGCCTATACAATTAGAAACCAACATTAAAAAACAATTAGGGTATAAAGCATGAAATTTAGGGGTGTCAGGTCAACTCGCCCCCTGACCGACTCGCCCCTTACCGACTTGCCCCTTACCGACTTGCCCCTTTCCAACTCACCCCCTTGTAAACTCGCCCCCTGAGCGACTCGCCTCTTACCAACTCGCCTCCTGGCCGCCTCGCCCCCTGAC